TTTTGTCTTTTTTTGTGACCGGTAACAGGATCGCAACCCTCGGTGTCGCGCCTGCACCGCGTTCAACCAGCGAGCGGACCGGTCTCTATATGGGATTCGAACCCTCGGCGGGAGCGCTACCGCGCTCCCAAGAACCACACTCTACTGAGTGCGCCACTGGGCCGGCCCTTTTGCTCTTCTTTTTTATTTTTCTTGATTTGCATGTAGCTCAAAGTGATCTATTTATCAAAGAAGTATTTCTGTGGTTGTATTTCCTGGATTAAGTAGACCAAAAGCTATCAATCCATATTTAGTAAATATTTAAAGTAATGCTGTGCTAATTTTTAATATTGAAAAGGAAACTTTGAAAGTAGGAGGCCTCCTTACTGGCCTTATCTTTCTTTAAACCCTTAATAATATCCTGAAAGGTAAAGAATTTATTGTTGTTTCAGTTGTACAGGTTTAATAAAATATTGGGTTTTTTTTTTTTTTTAGAAGATGACCGGTAAGGAGATCCCAACCCTTGACTTGGTGTTGTCAGCACCACACTCAGCCAGTGAGCTGACCGGCCATCCCTATATAGGATCCGAACCCGTGGCCTTAGTGTTATCAGCACCGCACTCTCCCGAGTGAGCCACGGGCCGGCCCTGGGGTTTTGGTTTTGTTTTTTGGTGGCTGGCTGGTGCAGGGACCTGAACCCTTTACTTTGGTGTTATAACACAATGCTCTAACAATAAAATACTCCTCAGAGTCTGTATCTTCTGTACAGTTTGTCTTTTCTTTTTTTTTTATTTCCAACTCACCACTAAACTAATGAGGACAGCTTGTCTTTTCTGTATGCATTCAGTTTACTATATTATTTCAAATATTTTATATGAAAAGTTTCTTGCCAGTTTTAATTTCACTTCGGCTGTTTCATCCCAGGCGGCCGCTGCAGACAGCGATGATTCGTGATGGCCTCATCTTCTGGCTGATTGATATTCTGAAGGACCCTGACTGCCTGTCTGACTACACACTGGAGTACTCGGTGGCTTTGCTTATGAACCTCTGCCTTCGGAGTGCAGGTCTCACCCCAGCCCCGCCCCCACCCTCATGAAGAAAGAAAAAAGCATGTCAAGCATTTCCAAAGCACTTCCAGCTAGGTTTAAAGCGATTGAATACCTGAAGCCAAAACACCATTCTGGCCTTGGAAAGAGTGTTTTATTATGTGTGTGGTGTCCACATTAAGAGGAAATTATATCTGTTTGCTTTTTTTTTTTTTTATCCATTCTAAGATAACAGAAAAGTATGTTCCCAAGATTCTACAGGATTAAGTTGGTGGCAGGAGCAATGACAAACCCTGCTTCCTGCTCTTGATCCTGTTGTGTTCCCCCCTCATTCCCTAAAAACGGAGGTTCTTGTGGGCATCACCAGTCATTTATGTACTTGATCAGTAAAGGTAGTGCTTTTAGCTTTTCTACGGGTACTGCCCCATTGAAACGATCTGTTACAGGGGATGAAAGAAGCTTCTTTAGGAGAGGTGCCAAGTCCAGGCCGTGGCTGCCCTCAGTCCAAGCAGCCACAGTATTTGGAGAGAAAGGTCACCTGGACAGCTAGCTAGCTCAGGGGAATTTGTTAGAAGCGTTTTCACTTTTGGAAACTTTGTAATCTGAACTGCCTGACTATGTGTTGTTGACTGAGTAAATGACTGTTATTTCAGTTTTATGGTTTAAAAAATGGCATATGCAAGAAGTGCTAGCTTTGGGGCCAGCCTGTGGCTCACTTGGGAGAGTGTGGTGCTGATAACACCAGGGCCACGGTTTCGGATCCCTATATAGGGATGGCCAGTTGCTCACTTGGGAGAGCGTGATGCTGACAACACCAAGTCAAGGGTCAAGATCCCCTTACCAGTCATCTTATTAAAAAAAAAAAAAGGTGCTAGCTTTTAATGCATTTATCAGATTATAATCAGCATTTCTTTATTATCATCAATTTATTTGCAGTGATTATTATGATGGTGTTTGGAATTACTAAATCACCTGTATGATTTATATGACGGTGGTATATGTACTTGTGGAGGAGAAAACGGCTCCATAACACATTGTACTTTCACTGTAATGAATTGCTCTGTGCTCTGACTGTAATAATCACCACCACCACAAACAGAGCTGTACTAAATCCTTTACATACATTAGCTTACCTAATTCTACATCACCCTTTGAGGTGCATATTAATAATCCCTATTTCAAAGAGGAGAAAATTGAGGCCCAGACTGGTTAAGTGATGCCCAAGGTCATGCATCTCGTAAGCAGAGGAGCCAAGATTTGTACCCAAGTCTGCCTGACTTAAAACTGCACTTGTGAGTTTCGACGTGTCACGTGTGGTTTGGTTTCATTTCCTGCAGGGAAGAACATGTGTGCCAAGGTGGCAGGCCTCGTGCTGAAAGTTCTCTCAGATCTGCTTGGCCATGAAAACCACGAGGTACTCAGTCCACACTGCCTACCCTGGGCATGGGGGAGGCTGCTGGGGACCTGGTGCCTGCGAGTTCACAGGCAAGGGGCTGGCCCAGGACAGTTGCTGCATCTGAAAAGTAGATATATTCCCCCTCTACCAGGTATCTTTATAAGCTACTTCAAATCTTTTATAATTTTAAAATTTTTGGAACTCAGAAGCAGGAAGTCACTCCTTCAGTCCTCGTTGTTGGCACACTGCTTCACTGGGCTAGCTGGGTCCCTCTCCTGCATTACATTTCCTTCTTGTCATCCAGCCCCAGCATTCCTCCCCCTGCATAGACATTCCTTGTGGTGTGCCTTAACGTAGATATGCTATTGTGTATGTGTGTATTGAATTTGCATAAACAGTATTGCACTCTAGATCTCATTCTGTTTATGACTTTTCCCCTCTGCTTTTAGGACCTTTCTCTCTTGCTTTACATACATCTAGTCATTAAGTCTCACTACTGCACAGTATACTCTTGTTTGCCCCCCTGACATTTTGCTTATCCAGCCCCTCAGTGTGTACACTTTGGTTGCCTCCAGTTCGGCTGCCCCAGCGGTCCTCAGTGGATATCAGCTCGCCTGCCCCACGAGGTCCTGTGCCAGAGCTTCCCGGGGTATATAGACATTCGTTACTGCTGGCTCACAGCATACATCAGGTTTGGGTCACTGAGTTCTGCCAAATTGTCCTGTAGAATGGCTGTCCTGGCTTTTGTTCTCACCAGCATCCTCCCCAACACCAGGGATTATTTTCTAAGTTTTCTAACTTGGGGGCTGCAAGCCCTTTTAAAAATAGAGGTGTGGGTAAACAAACTAACAAAAACTGATAAACAAATATGATTATTCTCTCACTTGGTTTCTACAAATGCTTTTGCAGAAACCATGGCATTGCTTTTCACCTGAAGCCAAAGCCTCAACAAAAACATGACTTCTTTGACAGGTCAGGCACAGGGACGGGACTTGGTTTCCATGCATCTATCCATTTCAAGCAGGAAGCTCCCATTCTGTTCATTTCATTCACGTCTTACATTCCCACAGCCCCGTCACCTGATTGACTGGGCTACTTCAGCAGTGGATACTTGGTGGTTGTTACAGTTTGTGCCGTGCATTTTATACTGTAAAACCAGTGAGCTCTTAACCACTCATAGGCCCGAATGAACTCTGTTTTTCATTTTATTCAACTCAGGCAGGTGAAGCCAGAAAGAAATATATTCTTCCATCTCATAATAACGGTTGGTTTCAAGTGTTGAAACCAGTACACTGTCTCTAAAAACTGAACAGACCAAAGGGTTTAAATCATGTCATTAAGTGTTGCCAATGTGTTTGCTTTGAAATGAACTGAAAAACCTCACTATGTGTTTTAGAGCTTAGAAATGTGTTTGCTACACAAATAAATGTAACACCCACATATCTTGTATTAGATAGTTGTGGTCTTGAAAGATGAAACCCAGAGCCATAAAGAAAAAGATGCATATATCTGACTATATGAACATTAAATTTTTTCTATGGAAAATGATGCTGTAATCAAAGTCAAAAGACAAACACTGTCCCAAGAAAAAGGTTGCATCACGTATGACAAGAGTTTAATGTCCCTAATAGACGAAGGCTTCCTACAAATTGATAAGTAAAAGTGAAACAACCCAACAAAAAAACAGGCTGAAGAATACAAATTCACATATTAGCAAATCGTGGTGGCCTATAAACATGAAAAGACATTCAATTTTGCTAGTAGTCAGGGAAATGAAAACGAAAACAACTGCTATAAGATACCTTGTTTTCCCCATGAGATTGGCAAATGTTAAAAGTGATTTTAAAAAGCCAGTTCTGAGAAAGGGTGGTGGGAAACGTGCCCTGCTCCATTGCTGTGGAGAATGCAGCAGGTGGCCTGCTCGGAAGGGGACCTGTCATCTTTCACATACCTGCCATGTGCCTCCTCCTGCGCTTGCTTGATGATGAGGTTCCCTAAATGAGTAAAACATGGGTCTTGTACTCAAAGAGCTTATAATAGCGGTGCAATAAGTGCAAATTTAAAAAGCCACTGTACCTACCTAGCACAATAGTAGAGGGATGTACGAGAAGCGGAGGCGAGTCTGGAGGGTCCAGGAAAGGTTTCCCATGAGAGGTGTCTAAGCTGAGTTTTAAAGGATGAATCAGCTTTGCGGACAGAGCTGTGTGTGAAGAGCATTCTCAGCAAGGTGAACTGGGGACCGAGGCATGTAACGGCCTGGTGTGTAAGTGTGTGTGACGGGGGTGTCCCTCAAGTAGTGTGGGAACTTCATGGTGGCAAGGAGGGAAGAGCAGAAGGGCATGATACAGAGGCCTGCCATTGAGGGATCCTGCGTGCTGTACCAAGGAGCTAGGACTTTCCAGCTGGGCTCTATGGAAGGTTTCCGAGGTGGGGAGAGGGGCGGTCTGGCCCCTGTGGCAGAATTCTGCCAGTGATATGATGTTTGGGTTAAAGGGTGAACATTGAAGGTAGACTCGTCTGGAGATTTGATGTAGCCCGGGTCATGGATGATGACGTCTGAACAAGGACAGTAGCAGTGGATATGGAAAAGAAGGTCCTATCAAAGACAGCTTGAAGACTGAGCACAGGAGAGTAAGCAGAGGAATCAGCGAACAGTCCAGCTTCTTCCCTGAGTGACCAGGAGGTTAGAAATGACAGGAATTAGACAAGAGAACGTAGCATGAGTGAGCTGTGGGAGGGAATGGTGAATTTGGTTTTGAACTCTCAGTTGTAGCTGTCACTGGGATGTGCAGACAGAGATGTGTATCCTTTGGAAACGTGCGCCCTGGAGCTCAGGAGAGTTGAGGGTTTAAACACCCACTCTCCTGTTAGCCAGATTGTTCTCAAGTGTGGTGTTTGATAATTGAATGGTACAGTATTTGAAAACTTGCAAATGACTGTTTTTTCTGCCCTTAAAGATCCAGCCGTATGTGAATGGAGCTCTGTACAGCATCCTTTCTATTCCATCCATCCGAGAGGAAGCAAGAGCAGTGGTAAGGACATGTGCCTGAAAGTGTGGGAGCTGCTTTCGGTGCAAATGTGTCTGCATTGAAATGAGCCAGAAAACCTACCCACATATATTTTAGAGTCTAGAAAAGTGTTTGCTACACGAATAAGTGTGACATCCAGTATCCTGTGCTAGTCATGGGTAGTTCAGAGATGTTACAGCAAGGACTTCCACAATTGGGCACCGTGGGAGGGCTTCAGATAGGTTATCAGCTCGCTGAATTATATGCAGAACATGTATTTGCAATTTTCTGGGGAGAGAATGTGTAACTTTTATCAGATTCCCAAGGGGATCCCTGACTCCTACATAGGTGAGAACCACAGTGTTAGAAAGTTCCCAGCAGGTTGAATTTTACAAACTGTAGACATTCCAACCAATTGGAACAGAAAAGCTGGTAAAGATTATAAAATTGCCTGGTACTTGGTTTGGTTGGTAAATAGTGAATTCAATATTTAATGTGTGTATTAGTCTGTTTTGTGTTGCTGTAACAGAAATACCTGAGACTGGGTAATTTATAAAGAACAGAGATTTATTTGGCTTACGATTCTGGGACAGCAGCATCTGGCACGGGCCTCGGGATGCTTCTACTCATGATGGAAAGTAGCAGCAGCCAGTGGGTACAGGCAGATCACATGGTGAGAGGAAGCAAGAGAGAGAGAGGAGGTGCCGGGGTCTTTCAGCATCTGGCACGGGCCTCGGGATGCTTCTACTCATGATGGAAAGTAGCAGCAGCCAATGGGTACAGGCAGATCACATGGTGAGAGGAAGCAAGAGAGAGAGAGGAGGTGCCGGGGTCTTTTAAACAACCAGCTCTCGCAAGAACTAATAGAGCGAGAACTCACTCACTACCCCTCCTCCCCCACGGAGAGCATTAATCCATTCGTGAGGGATCCGCACCCATGACTCAATCAATTTCCAAAACTACCACGTTGGGGATTAAATTTCCACATGAGTTTTGGTGGGGACAACACATCAAGAACTCACTCACTACCCCTCCTCCCCCACGGAGAGCATTAATCCATTCGTGAGGGATCCGCACCCATGACTCAATCAGTTTCCAAAACTACCACGTTGGGGATTAAATTTCCACATGAGTTTTGGTGGGGACAACACATCCGAACTCCATCAATGTGTAAAATTAGTGCTTATACTCATATTTGAAGTAAAAAACAAGCCTCAGGTGATTAGTATCTTATTTTGAGATAAGAAAAGAGCTCTAGGCATGACAGTACTCACTTCAACATTTTATAATTGTGAAAAACTGGAAGCAACATAAATGTCTAGATTTAGGTTTTCTAGATCTAATCAGCAAAACCACTAGAGTTTTGTCCTTTTTCCGTATGCCATCTGAAACCAGGTTAACAGTGTGAGTATTAAATGCTATGGTGAATGGATTAAATATATTTCCACAGTCAAAACACAGGCTAAATTCGGATTGAGACCACNGGGATGCTTCTACTCATGATGGAAAGTAGCAGCAGCCAGTGGGTACAGGCAGATCACATGGTGAGAGGAAGCAAGAGAGAGAGAGGAGGTGCCGGGGTCTTTTAAACAACCAGCTCTCGCAAGAACTAATAGAGCAAGAACTCACTCACTACCCCTCCTCCCCCACGGAGAGCATTAATCCATTCGTGAGGGATCCGCACCCATGACTCAATCAGTTTCCAAAACTACCACGTTGGGGATTAAATTTCCACATGAGTTTTGGTGGGGACAACACATCCGAACTCCATCAATGTGTAAAATTAGTGCTTATACTCATATTTGAAGTAAAAAACAAGCCTCAGGTGATTAGTATCTTATTTTGAGATAAGAAAAGAGCTCTAGGCATGACAGTACTCACTTCAACATTTTATAATTGTGAAAAACTGGAAGCAACATAAATGTCTAGATTTAGGTTTTCTAGATCTAATCAGCAAAACCACTAGAGTTTTGTCCTTTTTCCATATGCCATCTGAAACCAGGTTAACAGTGTGAGTATTAAATGCTATGGTGAATGGATTAAATATATTTCCACAGTCAAAACACAGGCTAAATTCGGATTGAGACCACCAAAACATTCTTCCAATTGGTTTTGCTTACCTAGAAGAATTGCTGAATCTTCTAATTGATCATATAAAATTATGTCAACAGGTACACCAGAGATAAAAACTTATTGAAGAACCATTCTTTGTGATCATATTAAACAATGGAACTTCATTGTCTACTGCTTTTCAGTTAAAAATCTGCCTTTTCAATATGGAACAGAGAAAAATAAAAGTGATTAAATTCTGCATTAGGGTCATTTAGGTGAAAGAAAGGGATTGTCAACCAGGGCAAAGAACAGAGGAAAAAACATGTGAGCTGAAGAGAAAGAAAGAGTAGAGGTGACATCGAATCAAAGAGTGGAAAACTGCATGGAGGAAAGACATCAGGGCAAAGGAGTGGGGAAGGAGGGAGGGAATGGCAGTCACGGGACAGGGACGGAGTGACAGGAGAGTCACAGCTGTAGGCCCTGAGAGCAGGATGGCTCTTAGAGATCATCTAGGCCAGGAAGAGAATAAGATGGAAGGAAGGGACAGAGCTTCAGAGAGTGTGACAATATCAAGAGGTCTAACATGTCTAATAGGAGGCCCAAAAGGAGAGGAGTAAGAGACAGTGGGGCAGAAAAATGGCTGAGGGATGGCTGGTCAGCTCAGTGGGTTGGAGCCTTATAACACCAACGTCACAGATTCAGATCCCAGTACTGGCCAGCTGCCAAAAAAAAAAAAGAAAAGAAAAATGGTTGAATAACAATGAAGTTTGGTGAAAAACATAAACATTACAATAAGGTATCTAGGAAATCCCCAAATATCTGGAAATTAAACAATATACTTTTATTAGTTATCTATTATTGCATAACAAATTACCCCAAAGCTTAGTGGCTTAAATTTTTTTTTATTATTTCACAGTTTCTATGGGACAACAGCTCAAGAGCAGATAGTCAGGTAGTCCTAAGAGTCCCTCAGGTTATAGTCAAGACTTCAGCCAGGGCAGCCAAGGCTCAACTAGGGCTGGAGAATTGCTTCCACGTTCCCTCATGTGGCTATCGGCAGAAGGCCTGAGTTCCTTCCCACATGGGCCTGTCCATAGGGCTTCTGTTGACATGTCAGCTGGCTCCTCCCAGAGCAAGTGATGAGAGAGAGAGAGATTGAGAGAATGAGCGAGAACATGAGTAAGACAGAAGCCAGTGTCCTTTAGAACCTAGTTTCAGAAGGACACACCATCACTTTTATTCTTCTGGTTACACAAACCACCTCTGGTACATTGTGGGACAGGACTACACAAGAGGTGAATACCAGGGGGTGGGATTGGTGGGGGCCACCTTGAGTTTTTTTTTTTTTTTTAAAGATGACCGGTAAGGGGATCTCAACCCTTGACTTGGGGTTGTCAACACCATGCTCAGCCAGTGAGCAAACCAGCCATCCCTATATGGGATCCGAACCCCCGGCCTTGGTGTTATCAGCACCGCACTCTACCGAGTGAGCCACGGGCCGGTCCCTTGAGTTTTTTACTTTAAAAAGAAGCCTTAAAGATACAAGTAGTATGAGCTTTCTTCTGGCACTTTAACAAGAA